CTATTTCAAGTGAGGCTTATCTAGGATTTGTGTATAGAGAGGGGATTACCTCTTTAGACTTGTGACTATTATGTTTATAATATACTCATATTCAGTTAGCTTTACCACTAACATTGACTTTCGTTGATGTTTGCAATTCATTTTGGTGACCCAGTGGTTCTTTTGGCTCTATCTGGTCTCCATTCCTCCTCTATATCAATGTGTGTGTGTGTTCTGATTTTTTTGTATCTTAGAATTAAATAAATTTCAAGCATTTATTTATATTATATTTTCCCACATTAATCTTAATTTGTCTGTTACAGATTTCAAATAAGTGGTATGAAAAGTGGCATTTCAGATCCGTCATTTGATGTCAGTCTATGATCAGTAGAGCTGGGTGATTAAGGGATATTTGATAATTGATTAATTGTCAGGCTGATCATTCAATTAAATTAAACTAATTGATTTTTCTCACATGAGACTTTGATAGGTGGAATAATCGAAAATAGTAAAAATTGGAAACACTAATTTTGATTATTTTCAGTAGGCAAGACACTGACAAATTAAATTGAGCAACTATACATTCATCAAAAATAAATAACAATAATTGGAAATCATAGGGACAGTAATTTGATTACCTAGATAGTTGGAATAATCAGAAACACTGCTTTTGATTAATTTATTACTTTTATGACATTAATTGATGTAATTATTATTTCAGTCAATTGATTATTTTGCAGGATACTAATTGACGTAATCAATTCTTGTAGGTAATTAATTATATTGAATGTTCAAAACCAAGATGCATCATCTGGACCATGACAGCCAAAAGTCCACCTGAAACTCTGTGTATATCCAGGACTTTTAGGGAGCCAGCCAGGCCCCAGAAAACATGCATTGTTAGGGGCCCACAATACTATAGCTTATTGTAAAGTGTACTCTGTAGTGGAAGTTATCAGAAAAAATCACTGAATTACATAGCAGACATTATGTAAATTGAAAGAAAACTGAAGATATCAACATATCTTAATTTATTTTGTTGTGAACTCATATTTCATGGAAAAAAAATATACAACTCAAACCATTTCATTTTTTTCAGACCACTTAAATGATTTGCATTTCATATACAATCTTTAATTTCTCTCTAAAGCATGGTATAACAGTAACTTTTTCTTCCACTTTAAAGTAGTATCTTTTTGTAATCAAACTGGATAATGAAATAAAATCTATGCATCACTACCATTGTAATCTATTTATTTGTTCCTCTTTAAAGTTGTGTCATTTCCTAATTAAAATAAATAGTGAAAGAAAATCTTTGCATCACTGTCAGTGTGATCTATTCTTGTTTTCATATAACCCATTACTATCTAGCTGACACGTATTTATCAATAAAATGTCAAACACTTTTGATAGAGAGGTGGAAAAACCCTCTCAGTTATTTCATATCCTGAAACAGCTGTTAATTAGTCCTTCATAAACTTGAATTTGTAATAAGCTAAATCTTCAAATTAGCAACATACGGAAAATAGCTCTAAAATGGCTTCGGTGGTGATGATTTAAACTGAAATTAGAGTCCTTTTCTAATCAAAATGAATAAAGAATGAAAATCTAGTATGCATCAGTGACAGTGTCCGATGATGTTCCAACATCCATTTCTTGAATTCTTCCTTTGTCTCCTTCTTCGTCACATTCCTGCACCTGCTTCTCAGTCTGGACCCTGCCAGCATTTGGTCTCTTTGTGCAAAGTGATCCTGAGTTTCAGAGATGGATAGCTGTTATGGGATCAAAGTCACTTACAGAAGGCAGTGGAGCATGACCAGAGACTGATCAGTGATCCTGTCAGCTCTCAGACAAGATCTAATATTAGTCTTGATAATCTTCATCTTGCTGAATCTTCTCTCTACCTCAGCAGAGCTGGCTGGTAAAGAAGAGCCACAGGTGTTAGGTAGCTCCTCATTAACCCCAGGGATGATAGTAGCCCGTAGTTAGCCTTTCTTGCTGTGTCTGGTGAAATTAAGTGATTAAATAGATGAGGAAAAAGTATCAGAGAGATCATAATGAGAATTGCATTATTATTCCTGTTCATTTAAAGTTATTATTTTACTGATAATTGGTTAGGTAGTTGGAATCAGGTCGATTATTTTATAATCGAGCGACAATTGGAATCAGTAGAATTTGTCGATTTTCCTAATCATGGAAAATTGATTGCCAAGAAATTAAAAATAAACACCACTCAGACCACTTATTTACAACCACAATCTTATTTGTAAGTATGCTTACAATCACGACCCTGTACTTTTTCCTTTCAACACAAAACATTATTCAACATAGAATATAATATCATCAGTTAAACAATCTTTGTTTGTTATTTATTTACACAAATTGATACATTGAATGAAAAAAAGGTTAAAAACTGCTTCACACGTAGTGAAGCTCACCCATTTCTTTACAGACCATACATTAGCAAACAGTCAATAACAGCACCTCATCCACAGAGCTAATACACACTGAATGCTTGTCAGAGAATTAAGCAGACTTTTTGTGCAAAATTTTTGGCATAATATGTGCCATATGTCTCCCATTAGTACCACACTGAGTATTAGCTCATTATTTGGAAAGGTCACCGCAGAGCGCATGACGAGAGCAGTAGGAAATTTGGAATATCCCATTACTTTCCATTAGGGAGGTTTTGTCAATTGTTTGAATTGCACATGTCACTGTCAGAGATGTCATTATAACATGAAAGTGGTAAACAGGTACATACAAATATTTACAAAATAACTAACCTAATGGACAGCTATGGAACATTCCATTTCGTCATTTGACAGTCTCATTATTTATTAATATGCATAGTTCCAAGAAGTTACCTTAAAGTTAGTTGTGGCTCGACAGATGTTATTGCTGATCCATTGGATTGCTTCTGAAGAAGAAAAACTAGATATTTTGGGTTTTTCGAGTAGGAAGCAAATGGTTGAAAAACAAGAATCACGAAGGTGAGTAATTGTCGTAACCAACTGCCCGTGGGAGTGTATATGCCCTTATCAACAGTAAAAGCTAATATTTTGTGATTTTAGACAAATGTCAAAAGAGACAGTGCAAGTGCTAAGATTTGAAAAACATTCGATGAAAGCATGTGTATCAAGCCAGGAGGTGATAAATGTTTAATAATTCAACTAACACGAAGTGGGTATTCTTTATCATAATGCATTTATAGTTGTCATTTCTATATCTAAGGTTGGAAAGTTGAACATTCCTTATGCAATAAAGATACAATTAGGATCATGTTTTTAAAAACGCCAATTTTTGAAAAAAATCTTTCGGCAAATGATTTGAAGATTCCTCTCTTTTCGAACAAAACTTTCAAATGCTGACACTTTATTTGACCTTTGGTTGAAATACTTCATTTGTTTTAGAAAGTATTGACAAAAAAGAACTTGTATGTACATCCAGCAAATGTGTGAGCCTTGATGCAGGCTTGGTGTCATATATAAAAAGTTTAAAAAGTAGCATTGTGATTGAAAACAGTAGTCATCTTTATAAAAATTCAAATAATAATTTTGTAGTTCAAATGTTATGAATGAATTTTTGTATATCAATTCCATTACAGTGAAACAAAATGTTTGAATATTGGACAAAGTGATGGCTTTCTTATTAATGAAAGTGCATTTACTTTGAATACATGGGCATTCATAGTGATGACGTTTGTGGATTGTACGTGACTGATGAGTGTTCGTAAAGTTGGGAAGGTCCATTCATGGCTGGTCATAAGTTCTGCTCGGATTAAGAAACTCTTAGATCAATTTATGTGGAATCAAACTTTTAATGGCTCTTTTTGATTTTAAGGGGCCATGCAGGCTACGTAGCAGATACTTTTTATGGGCCCACGGACATTTTCGGGGGCCATTGGGTTCTGGGCCCCCATTAATTTTGAGCCTTGGTATTTATGTATACACACACACACACACACATACACAAACAGTGCATATAGTACAAAACTTTAAAAGCTACAATCCTAACTTATGGCAGAAAAAAGATAGATTTAAAATGCTTTTTTTTTTTATACATCTCTGATTTTAAATCCATAATTGACAAACTAGAAAGAACATGGGAAAAAACATCTGTAGCCTAGCATGAATTTTATCAAGAATGTTTAGTGTATCAATTAGCATTTTATTAATCTTAATCTTTTTTTTTATTACATGTCAAATCTTTCTGTAACGTATCCTGTTGGAGATTAAGATGTGGTTTCTACTGGTTTTCAGGTTTCTTTTCTATTTTAATTTTTGTTACTCTTTTTTTGTATTTTATAATTTTATAACAGTTTTTCATTTTTTGTTATATACCTATTGTATTGGTAGTGGTATTGAATTACCAATATTATAATTTGATATTTTTTCTTGTATTTTTATATGTAATTTTTAGTTATTGTAATATTTTTGTTTTATTCTAATATTTCTTCTTTTATTATTTCTTTTTTTATATATATTGATATAACTAAAACAGATATTTTGAAACAAGTAATTAAATGAAGCATTTTTTGTATTTAGTTCTCTAGTTAGTCCTTATACATTTTAATTATAAGTATGTTACACAAAATACAAAAAGAGATTAAATAATAAATTTAGAGAAAGTAAAAAATTAGAAACAACAGAAAAAGAACATTTCATGTTACAGAAAAAGCATTAAAAAGTATATAATTAAAGTTGCAAACATTATATCATAATAGTAGAAGGCGGCTTAAGTAAGTGAGTATTAAAACAAGAATTATGATCAATGCCATGTTAAAATACATGTTTCATTCATATCATATGTCATGAATGTTACAGAGTAGATGCATTAGAACAGTTGAACTCTGACATCCATTCAAAAACAGTCACCTTTTAAGTATTATATTGCTTATGATGCCAAACACCAGTATAGAAAAATGAAGTTTTATACCTTGTAGGCTTTTAGGTGATAAAAGTATGGTAAAATTGTGAAACTGTTGTTATTCATTGAACTCGTATATGTCTTTTTGTTAGGGGTACAATATCCACATCAATGGAGCTTACCACTGTACTGTTCGATACAGACAACTGCACAGTTTTAATGAGCAGGTAAGTCTTGAATATTTTTATTACTAGTAAACAGTTGGCTTTTAATTTACACTATGTAAGCATAAAACCTTTCACTTTTTATTAAAGCAACTAGTCAGTTGGAGAAATTACTTGTGTAATACAGGCAGGAAGAAACTATGTAGAAAATGCATTTGTGTGCATGAGAGATATTACACAGCTCATTGGAAAGGTATGAAATAGCTTTCCATGCACACGTCTGTCTTTGTAGCCAGCAGAAATAACTCTAGAACGGTAAGGTGGAAACCTCAAAGGTTAAAGTATGAAACTCCCTACTTATGATAATTGCAAGTGATAGAAATATATTTTATAATAAAAACTATTTGGTACGATTACTAACTTATCTTATGCTGAAACAAAAATATTTTTAGAAACTGAAAAAAATGTTTAAAAAAAAACAACATAAAAGAAACTTATTTAAGGGCATATACTTGATTATAATAGCATGAGGTATGAACAACAGCGTACTATCATACTGTTGTGTAGATGAGTAATCTTTGTTTCATTGGATTTTCTAGATAATTTAAGCGTAAAAATAAAATTATGAAAATATGATGGGTAAACTAAAAAAAAGATAACTGTATATTAAGTAAACTGAAATACTACAAACTGTATTTAAATTATAACTGTAAATGAAATTTCATGTTAATATGTAAGGTGTAGTATATTAAATTTTCATATTGAAAATATTACGTTATTACTATTTGAATTGTCAAGTACCCATTTTTATTCAGTACACTACATGGTCTGACAAGCAACTGGCTTACACAACAGTAGGGTTCTGGTTCTTTTTGTGATCATTATGTGTTCAAATCATTTTCTGACAAATACAACAATGTGGTTGTGTTTCATCTTTTGATCAGCATCTAAATTCCAATTAATGTAAGTTAGTTTTGTTTCACTGATTATTGAATTATTTGACTGTTTGTGTAGGGCATGTGATTTTTATATCTTAAAATTATTAAACTATATGCAAGTGATAACTAACAACTTAAACAGTCACAGAGTATTTTTTGTGGTGTAAGTGTCATTTGTCTTTCGTTTACATGTTGTTTTAGAATGAACAGTCTTAAATTAGCAGTAATTGTTATATTACACTATGAATGAATTATCTTGAGTCTCATTTTGATACTGTTTAGTTAAAGAGAGAGTATGGGTCCACACACCTGCCCCATTTCCCTCCAAAGAAGCTTCTTCCATTATCACCTCCTCAGCTAGAGGAACGTCGAATCTTACTGGAGAAATATATCCAAACGTGTAAGTTTACAGACTGTTTTGTAAAATATTTGAATTCATTATAAAAAGCTGTTGAAGTTCTACTTAAAAATATGTGGGTGTTGTGCCATTTAGTAAAATATTATGTTCTTTGCAATGTATTATTGTTTTAGATATATCAAGAGATTAATAATATTATAAAATTACAAAATTAATGCTGATCTTAAGGTACAAGAACAGTAGGCATAATAGTGGACTACCACTTATTCTTAAAGTTTTGGTTTGATGGACCAGTGTAATTCAAGAGTTATCTATGATATTCCTAAACTTGCATACTTCTTCATTCATATGCTATGTTTAGGATATACTATACCCATGCATGTTTTCAAAGTCTCATTTGATTAACTGCTTCCCCTTAAAAAATACCAGTGTGGAACTTTATGGCATATGAAGCTTGAGAAAGAGAAACCTACAAACACTTCATTAAGTTATTCACTTGTAGGGTTATTGCTAGTGAATTTTAACTTGTCATGTCCAGTTTGTCGTCTTCTTTTTTACTTCAATCTTATGGAATATTTAATAAGTATGTACTTTTTATTGTCAAAGCAGTAATGAGGATAAAAGCCATTACATGTCATATTTCTAAATGTATTTAGATGATTGTATTGAATAAAGTGGTATTTACCAAATTTATGGAGAAATGTGAGACAGGTAGTGTGTTTTTGGAGCTTCAATGTGTCATGGCTTGTAGTTTTGTTAATTAATACTCTGTGTGGCTTAAGTGTCAGCTTTTCTGTAATCACACAAGGGATCGTAACATAATAAAAATAATCTGTGGGGTAATGAATACTTGCAGGTAATTAATATTATTGAATGAGATACATGAAAGCAGGAAACAAGAAACAGAAATACAAAATGATTTACCTATATGAGTATCAAGAAATTATTTTCTGGGGAATAGTTGGACATATACATTATCTGAAACAATAATAATATTATCAAATAATTAAAAATCTTATAAACAGGATGACTAATATCATAAAATTTTAAATTTTCAAATAAATTCAGATCATTTTGTGACAGCATGTAATGTAGTTTCTAATACCAAATCATACCTTCTCTCACATAATAGCATTTCTTGACTTGTGCAGCCCTCTATTTGTGCAATTTTCACTCACCACTAGCCTTGATGTTGCCACCTAATCTCATGTGATTTCACATGATACAGCTGTGTTGTAGCATACAAATGAGCATGTAATAACCCACCACCAATAGGAGTGTGACACACCCTCCTAATGCAATTGATTCCCTTTACACTGCAGAGCACTCAATACTTCTCAATTTGGTATTCCATTGTGCAGATTTGCTTGATTTTTGCTCCATGTTTTGTATTGTCTAGTGCAATTTCACTAAATACTACTGCATTGACACTTTAGTTTCTTGTCATTTTTATCCCTAAGAATTTGTTTGGGGGAAAGTTTCTTTTCTTTTCTATGTAATGAACTCTCAATTTAGTATTACTGCAATGGCTTCTGGTATGGACCCTGTCACTAGTGATCCAACAACAATTACTACTTCTGTGTGAGATAGAGCCTATCCTGTGGCCACCTACATCTCTGTAACTCAAGTTGGATCTCACTTTTCCTGGAGAATCTGTTTCTGAAGATGAAGATTTGGACAGCCTTTTTCCACCTTCTGCCTTGCTATGCCTTCCTGTTCTACCCCACTCAATCTTCCTCATTCTTTGTCTGAATTTTTGAATATGATTTCTCAGATATGTTACCTCTTGTCTTGTCATATGATTCCTTCTTCATTCTACCCCAATGTCAGATTATTAAGTCCCCCCCCCCCATCATCTGGTATTTAAAACCATGTTATACAGTTTCTTACCCATTCACATTCAGGTGCCAGCATGCCTTAGCCCCCACATTTGGCTGATTTTGTTTTTGGATTCTCATCTATGTCTTACCCTCACTACTATCCTCTGTTATTTCTCATCCATTCACCTTGTTTCCGAGGCTATTCACCATTCCCCTGAGGATTTTTCAGTGGAGACACTTACCCTTCTTTTTTCTACATTAGCATACTTATGTTCCTCAGCCTTTTCCCTTCATAGCTCCCTTGTTGTTGGGATCTCCTTGGCAGGGATGCCCTCTTGTTACATGTGCATTTACATGATCTCTGTTTGGCTCCTTTCTTGTGCTAGTCTGTTTTGGGGGATCTCCTCAATGCCTTAGAGTCACAGGTAGAGGCTGCTCATCAACATTCCTGTTTCTTGTCTTTCCAAATTCTCTCCTGTTCCCATGTCTTACCCTCTACTAGTGCCACATTTCTGGGTTTCTGCAGCGAGTTGCCAAATTGCACATTATGACATTTTCTGATGCCAATTTTGTCGGTGACTATCCTGTGGGCTCTGGCTCTGAGGTGGCACAGTTGGCCAAGTTTGCTCATCTGTGGATCCTTTTGCCACAGACTCTTGGGCTCTTTAGGTTCTAACAAGAGGACTGTCTCTTTGTTTTTCTGCTCCTCCCACTTTATCCCAATGCTCTTCCTTCTCAGGATCCACTATCTTGCCAGCATCTCTTCGAGGTGATTTGAGATCTATTCAACAAGGACACTACAGAACAAGTGTTTCACCCTTCTTTGGGTTTTTATTCCTGGCTGTTTGTTCCAAAGAAAACTAAGGATTGGCATCCTGCTATCAGTCACTCCAACCTCCACCACTTTATTAAATTCCCATATTTCACCATGGAGTCTTTCCTCACCCTCTGCTAGTCATTCACTTCAAATCTATTGATGATCAAGGTTGACGTCACTGATGCTTGCCTTCTATCCAAATCTGTCCAGCATCCATATGTTACCTTTGGTTTGTTCATAGGGATCAGGTGTTTCAATTCTGTGCTCTACCATTCGAACTGACATTATTACCATACATCTTCTGTTGCATGGTCAGAGCCCTTGCCCACCATATTCACTACTATGGTTTGTGCTTTCACCATTATATGGATGACTGGCTCATGTTAGTTCTTTCCATTCTAGCCTCTTAGAACCATACCCATTTCTTCCTATGAGAGGTGGATTGTATGGGATGGCTTGCAAACTTGTACAGTTCATCAGTATCTTATTCATCTGGGGGTGTTTTTCAATACCTACCTCAACAGGGCCCTGTCTTCTCTTTTTCATTTGAGGGCAATGGAGCTCTTGGTTTCTCTTCCTGTTTGCAAGGTTCTCTCTCTTTTGGGAACCTGGACTTCTATGGAATTCCTCATCCCTTGGTGTTGTGCACATATGTGTTGCCTTCAGTGGGTGCTGCATGATCCCTCCCTCTTCCCTACAAGTCAACTTTGCTTGGTGGCTTGACAGGGACAACACCTCGATTGGTATTCCTCTGCTTCTTCCTTGTCCTGCCTTACATCTCTTTACAGATGCCTCTCTTATGGGATGAGAAGCATATTTGGATTCTCAGGAAATAGCCAGTTGATGGTCAAATGTTCCCTACACATCAACCTTTTCAAACTCCTAGCTATTTGTTTTTGCTTTGTATCATTTCCTGCCAATGGTACAGGGCCACCTAGTCATGATCCATTCCAACAATTTGACCATTATCTCTCAGTCGTCATGGGGTGCCCAATCGATATTCTTTTATGACTCCAATTTCAGTAGGTCTGTCTTCTTGCTTGTCACATCTCTGGTGCTCTGAATCTTGTGGCAGATTGGCTATCTTGTCCCAAAAAAATTCTGGCAATGGAGTGGTCTCTTGCTTCTCAAGTGTTTTGGTGGTTATGCTCCTTCTGGATGTATTTGCCACCCAGCTCAAAACAAAACTTCCCCTCTATTGGTCTTCAGTTCTGCATCTTTCAGCTTTAGTTGTGGATACCTTCAGTTAGGATTGGACCAAGCTTTACCTGTATGTTTATCTTCACATCCTTTTTCTTCCCTGCATTCCCTCTTACACAAACCACTCCATGTTATTGCTCTTTTCTGGCCTGCACAGCCATGGTTTCCACTCTTGAACCTTCTTCAGTCATCTCCTCCCATACCTCTTCCACTTTCTCTGTCCCTTTTCTGGCAACCTCAATCTTTCATCTTGCCATAGCCATACTCTGTCTTTGCTTGTGAATTTTGTCTGGTCCCTTATGAGACGATCCAGACTCTCTACATGGGTAGCCTTCCTTCTTTCTTGCTTGGTCTGCTCTTCATTGATGGTTTTACCAGTATAAGTATACATTTTCCACCATTGGTCTTTGTGCTATGGCCTCTCACCTTCCTGACCAAGTGTTCTCCACTTCTCTGATTTTTTTACTTGGCTTTTTGACAATGGTTTATCTGTTTTTACCATTTTGGGCTGTAGGGCAGCTTTGCCCAATACTTTTTTTTTCCTGCTCCATTGTATTTTTTTCTCTCTTGTTTTGCTCATTTTATTGGATTCATTTGCCCCGTCCCCAGTTCCCCTAACAGATTGGTATCTCAATGTTGTCCTTAATGCCCTTACCCTTCCTCCCTTTAAACCTTTGGCCTCTTGCTTTTTTTACCACCTCTCCCTTAAGACATATTTCTTACTTCTCTTTATGTGTGGATGTTGTAGGTCTGATATCTTTTCTATCAACGTATCCTGTATTCTTTATCACCATACCTATGTTTTCCTTTATCTGGATCATAGTTTTTTCACCCAAGACGTCTGTAGCTCCTGAAGGAAATATGACCTTCACTCCTATTTCTATCCATTCCAACTTTCATTTGTATTCCAGATCTGATCTGAATTATCTTCTTTGTCCATTACAGGCTCTGCATTGTTATGTCACCTGCACAGCTTCCTTCCATTGTTCTTGTTCCCATCTTTTTATACCCTGGAATTCCTCCTCTACCCGTAATCTTTCTCCTGTTACCTATACCAGATGGATTTGCCAGCTTATTTGTCTCACTTATGCATTATTAATCGAGGATTCTTGTTATATTTTCTACATTTACTCCCACCAGATCCATCATCTCACCCATCTCTTGGCTACCCACTTCCGTCATCTGTTGGAAGAAATTGTGCAACCTGGCATGTGGACTACACCTCACATATTTGTTGTCCACTACCTGCATCATTTTGCTGTCTCCTCCTTATCTGGCTATTGCTTGCCACCATTTGCCATTCTCCATATCTCATTTAGACTTCTTGAGTTCCCCTCAAGCGTTAAGTGCTTTCCATCACCCTTTGTAGTCATTCCCTATTATGCTCTACCAGCTTCATGATAGTGGTAGGGAGACTGCCATGCAATTTGAGACCAACAACTTCTTGTGTTGTAACACAGTTGTTACCCTCCTTCAACTATATTTTTAGAACCTCTATTGATTTCACAAAATTAGCATCAAGCACTTCTTTGCAGTCTTGTGTTTCTTGCTGAATAAATTGTGTGATATGAATTCCTTGAGCATAAGCCAACAAAGGGATTGCTAGAGGTAGCAGAGTGTTCTGATTGATGATGCATTAACTGTCTGGAGAATAACCTTCTTTATTTGAGACAGGTCTTTCCTAATCTGTAATAACATTGCCTCCATCATCAAGACCACAGAATCTTGATTGTGTTTACTATCCTTATCTGAAAGATGATCAGTTTATACCTTATGCAGAGAGCAACAGCTGGAGCCTCTCCTTCCACTGTAATACATGTCCATCACACCGTGCCAACTCATACCCCTCTTACTGTAGTGATCAACTGTTTTCTCTTGGAAGTACATTGACCCCAGTTTTATCTATAGTGACAAGAGCATCATCAGAGACTCATGGCTTCACATCTATTTTTCATAGTAGTTGAAATTCCCTATATTGAAAATTGTTAATACATTAGTCTCACACGATGACCCATGAACAGCTTAGCTTTTTAGCATCAAGTGACCAATACCCTAGTAGTGGGTGGTTCAACTTTAAAGTTTAGTAAAATATCTCCTACTTTATTATATGAAGAAGTGAAATACATGCTTACATTCATCATAAAATAGCAGTATTGAAAGTGTAGGCTCATTTCTTTGAAGCCAGTCATGATGCTTTATTGTGGAGTGTACATTGACCTCTTTGGTTCCAAGTATCTTTATCAAAACTAAACTTAAGATAGGTCCAAGTGATCTCCATTTTTCCTTCAATATTTTGCCTTGTTGGTCTACCACCATAACCAGTGATTCAATTATCCTTTATTCTTTTGATGAGATGAGTGATATTGTTCATTAGGAAACCTGTTACACAGTCTATTACTTTCCTAAGCTGGGCATCTCTGTGAGCCACAGTGGATTCCAACTGGAAGAAGGATGCTCTTGAAATTTGTTCAACCATGTTGGAAGGGACTACAGCATTGATTTAGGCATCAGATATGTGAGTTATTAGCCATTTTCTTCAAACTGCAGGAAGGATGTGAGTGGCTTCATTCAACCACTACTATTTTTCTTCTCCATGACAAGAAAATGAAGTCAACACATTCTGTGTTGAACCTATGAAAAGTTTGGGGCTTCTTTGCCAGGACTTCACTGTGTTTAAGTTATTCAACATCCTTTCACCTAGCAGCAAAGATCTTGAATGTCATTGTAAGACCTGGAAAGTCCTCCTTTATGGCTGTTCATGGAATTTATACAACAAAACAAAGCAACACATGGATGACTCTCTTCTTGAATGAACTTTTTGTAGCCTCAACATAGCACTACACCATGTTTTTCAAAGTGATTTTCACATTTGTTACAAAAAAGTCTATGAGGATATTTGTGACAGAGATGATCCTTGAGAGCCATCAGTGAATTTTTCACAGCACAGCCACATCCAAGCAAGAAGCAGCTTGAGTCAGTCATTATATAGGCAGGTAGCAGTAAAGTCTAAGCTTGCCAATTTGGATTCTTTTTCAAGATTATATGGCAAACCACCCATGACCACAGTATGGGTTATGGTAAAACTTTCCTCATATCAGCTCTGACAAAATAATCATATCTCCCTCGTCTTGATGTTGTTTTTGAACACCATTGGATTCAGCATAAGATAAGGTTTATTCTTTTATAATTTCAACAGGATTTTCTCATAAAAGAAAGTGAACAGAATTAGGTTGTCTTGATTGACCTAGTAAAGCCTCTCTATTTGACTCACTGGTTTGCTATTTGTAACAGTTTTAATAGGAGGGAGTAAATTTGTTTGCCATAATATACCAATTACCAAAAACCTGTGTTTTACATGTTAATTTACTGTTGATCTTTGTGGTTCAACCAAATACTACAGCACAGCATAAATCAATAAATCACTAGACTAGTTAGTGTACTAGTAATTTAAAAATATGATTTTACACACTGCAACAGAAAACAAGATTAATAAAACTATCACGTGCATAAAAATCAAAGTTAAGATGTACAAGTAAAATAAAGATATTTCTACAAGTAAATAATACAAGTTCTGATTTACACTGTGTTACAAAATTATATCCAAGACCAAGATATAAAGAAAGCTAATGTAATATCAAAAATAAATGTGAAGATTATAACAATGTCTATTGTGTAGTGTATTAAATGATAATATTGCAAGTCAAGATGTAAAGAAACGAAATTATACAAGATTTTAACAGTTTGAACAATAGAACAAATAAGTTTGATATTAAAACTTAAGTGTTTAAAACAATAATGTAGGTGAGAATAGTGATTGTATAATACTGATTATACATAGCTACTGCATTCTGTACAGTTACACTGTTTTGTCAAGACTATAGCAGTTTTAACAATATAAGTAATGGTATGGTAATTTCTAATGTAAAAATTTAGAATTTTAAACAGGCAACTAGCTGATACCTGCCTGAGGTCTTGGCAATTAGGAGTTTCATTAAGAAAATTTAATGTATATTGCATTTATAAAAAGGATCCAAAATTTTTATTGAAATGTCTTCTAAAATTATAAACATTTATAAAAGGGTTAATACATTTTACTGAGAAATCTTGCCCATAAATACTCATTTATAAAGTTATGTCAATCTGTTTTCTTCATATTTGGGGCAAAACTATTCCAGTCATTACTATGGTTTTTTTGTAATTTATACTCATAATGGGATACTCAACAGTTATTGAAGGATGATTGGATAACACTTATTCACACTAGTTGCCTTTCTCCACCTTTATTTCTAGCTGAACAATGGAGAATGTCATACTGAACCCACCCTTTTCCATTGAATTTTGTCTTTGGTCAGAATAGGAATTAATATTTACATAAAGTATGTTTTACATCATTTATTGGAAACTACCAATAATATGGTTGACTGTAATGCTAATAAACCTGCTGAAATAGAACAGTTAAACCCTGCTTGTCACTAGGTGATAATACAAAAAATCCACATTTCTATGTGTAAAATACTGAACTAACTGCCATCCCACCATCTTGTATCATAAATGCCTCTAAAGCCTTTTAAGGTAAATTGTAAAAGGTTTGAAACTTTTATGTTTTTCTATTTATTAAAAGCTCTGGAACTGAAAATGTCCTTGGATTTTACATAATTCTACATCAAGTAGAAAAGACTGCTTGATTAGTTCACCTTCAAAGCATTGTAAATATTAAATTGCACAAAAAAAGCAGTGTGTATATTTTATTTTTGAAATGCTAAAATTACAAGGTACAAGTTTTCTTGTGTTACATATAGCTTGTACATAATATATAGTTACAATGTTTACATGTAAATCAGATTCTATGAAGAGTTTTCTTTATATTCTGTGCTGTAAGATAATGTTCTTAATTTTAATTTTCTTATCATGAAAGTACACATATTATCAGCAGTAAGTAATTTGCTTTTTTACCTGTTTTATTACAGTGACACAGGATCCTGATATTGGAGACTGTAACATATTTAAGGGTTTTCTCTTAAGTGCACAGCAGGAAACTCAAAATGCTGTGCAAGAAGATATTGATCTGGATGTTTATATGATGAACTGGCACAAAGTGACTGTCAGAGTAAATACGACTGACTCTACAGACACAGTTCTGCTGGTAATGCTTTTTCTTTCCATCTATATAGGATATGATGTTTTTTGTTTTGAACTAGCTAAACTTGATAAAAATGGTAAAATAACATTTTTCTAGTGTAATTCCTCAAAGCTATTTGTATACATATAGGTCTTCAGTAAAAGAGATATATTAAGCTAGTGCTGGTTTTCATAACCTTTACCTACTTTTATACACACACACACAAGCACAATTTTTGCTTTGCAATGTTTAGTTTAATGTAGTACCCGTAATATTATTATGCCATCAGCTTACATTTGCTTGGTTCTCATAAAATCTTTGCAAGATTTGGTGATACAAAAACTTTCAATCTGCTAGGCAACTCAGATGTAACCATTTAGTTATAAGTTTAAAAACACTAGTGCAACAAGATCACAAAATGAAACAAATCTATAGTGATTAAAACTCATAATTTATGTGAACATTATAAGTACATTATAGTGCTAAACACGTATTTTATGCAACACTAAACAGATTCATAGATTTAAACTTTTAAGGATAACAAGTACACTTACAATAATAAATAAACATAGTATTATGGTGAAAAAAGTGAAAAATAAGCAATGAGTAGTTATTACAAAAATAATTGTATCTGTAGTGATGAATGAACTTAATTATGCAAATCAAACAAAACATAGCAGTTATTAGTTTCTAAAACTCAAAATATCACAGAAAGATTTTTTTTTCTAATACTGAGGAATAGTTTGAAAAATAACCTTTGGAAATCATCAGAAATTTGCTATCAAAATAAAACAAATGGATAAATGAATAATGGATGGAAAATGTTGAGAACTGTTGTTACATCAGTATGATGGAACAAGAAGTCACAATGTATTAATATGACTAACAAGTAAAAAATATAGTGGATTGTTTATCATGTCTAATCCATACCAGAAAAGAAGTAGGAATGGTGAGTAAATGTCAATTAGCCTTCATAAGTATGAACAAGATCAATATTCAAAACTAAAAAATAAATAATGCCAAATTAGTAGAATTATTATAAAACCCTTACATGCATATGAATATGTTTTGTTGGAGTTAGTTATCCAAATTATTGTTCCTTTATGGCACATGAAGTACTGAGGTAAAGCCGTCTTATTTAAGTTCCATTATTAGAGATGAAGGATTAGTGGGATTTGATAATTGATTAATTGTCAATATCATTAATCAATTACATCAACTTGGTTAGTTGGAATAATTAAAAACACTGATTTTGATTAGTTATTTATTTTCTTGAGTTGTGACACTAATTATTAAGCTGAAGAACCTGAAATAATAGCAATATTTGAATTACTTGGATAGTTAGAATAATCATAAACATAAAAACACAAATTTTGATTATTTTGTTATTTTAGTTATGTTCATTGATTCAACCATAATTTTGATTAAATGATTAATTTATTTATATTAACCAATCTAACTTATGTTAATAGGTGATTTATTAATAGTGTTAATTGCCCAACTCTATCAGTTACAGAATTATTATTGTTATTTGAGTTGGATATGAAGATAAGAGATAAGACTATTTGATCTCAGACATTTATTGTGACCTTTGTAGAATAGGTAGTGCCGAAATGAAGCTGTCCTATTTTCAATCATATATCAAAAAACTTTGTGTCTTATGTAGAGTAAGATACAAAATACTGAAATAATTTTGTTTCTTTCAATCTGTTGTCAAAATTTAGTGATCTGTGTTGCGTATAAAGTACAGAGATAAGGTTTAAAGATTGTGTTGTTTTGAATTTATCATCCATTTTAGTGACCTGTGGAAAATACTGGTTACTTCAAGCTTTAATTATACCATTTTTTAAATAGATTGCATGTAAAAAATAATGAAATAGAATTATGGTTTTTTCTTTATCAATAGGAAATAGCAAAAGAAATTAATTTACCAGAAGAATTAGTGTGTTATTTCTGCCTATATCTGGTCAAAAAAGTTGAAGCTGATATCAAAAGTAAGTTTTATTTAAATAACCAAGGCAACCATGGTTTGATGTAGCTCATTTTTTGTTTTCTCCATTGTTGTGTATTTACTGTGATGTTTCTTACATATATTTATAGTACATGTATTATGCTTATTTATATTTCTTAATGTTTTAGAGAAGATCATACAAAGGTTCAGCTCCACATAGAACTACAACTTGTTTTTTATTAATCATCATCATTTTTCTTTTTTCATTATACTGAAATGAAACTGTCGACTTCTGTTCAATACATTATTTTATATGCTGCCTGTTTCTGATTATGTGGAATTGTTGCATTACAGAATACATGGATTTTTGTCAAACGTAAGAAATTCTTGTACTTTCAGTAAGAATAGGTTCATGGATTTGTGAAACTACTCTATTAAGAATCAGTTCATGAACAAATGATAAATTTTAAAAGTTTGTAGACCACTTTTAAGAATATGAGTTAGAAATCAGTTGTTGATTTAGTAACTAGTTTTAACCTTATCTCGACAGGTCACGTGTCAAAGGCCATGTTATTTCGTTTGTTGAATTGCATACAAAATTTTATTGAACTACTATTTTATGAATCTGTGAATAACTTTGGTATCAAACTGTAGATTATAATTAAAATTTTAGTATTATACATTAGTTAATTTCTTAATTTAAAAGTAAATATTAAAAAAACACAGCTAAACATAGATTTTTGTGTGTCATGTGAT